CAGGTAAAATTTTTCTAAACGTCTGAAATGGAATCCTGAAACTCTATGACAATGCACGGTACAATATAACATACGATATGTGTACACAGGGAAGGAAGTGTAAGCACTTGTGGCGTGATGACAGCGATGGGTTTTCTGGATGCATTGTTTCGCTTCCATACAGAAATCTGGAGTCGCTGGTCTTTTTTGAAGTTTCCTCAGCTGATCGTACAAGAAAGCCTCGAAGTGTCTAGTAAGAAATATTCGTTCAGAAGATTATTAAGATTAACACGCTACTTAAAACACTATAGACTACATTATAGACTCGATAGATTGATGTTTTATTCAAGAGAGATGCCGTAATAAAAATTTTAAAAAACAATCCTTTCATTGTTTTAAATAGTGCATTATTTTGTTCTCAATATTTAGAAAATAATAACCTGAATGTTAGAGGCTGATCGTATCTTGCCACGCCAAGGGTGGGACCGGACATTCCCGCCTTATGGAAAGCATCCACCTAAAAATAAATATATATGTATTACTTTTTCAAAAGAAAAAAAAAATATATATATATATATAAAGTTATTACCAGTCTTTTAACTAAAACTTGTTCGTTCGCTCTGCCATGACGTATCTGTAATCTTTTCAATTCCATCAGCTGAAAAAATATCTTCCTTTCCAGGTGATATCTTCGTAAACTGATTTGCACGTCTCTTGTTATAGTATCCATGTTAAGAGACTGTTGCTTATCCGTGTTCGGACAGCACTTCATGATTCTTCTTCTCGGTATCCTCGATACCCTAGGGCTAGGTTCTATGCCACTATCCCTGCCGCCGCTATCGCGACGTTGTTTCCCTTGCAATCGACTGGTTCTATTTTCCTGAGGACTTTGAACTCGCGTCAGACGAGTTCGAGTACTGGATTGCACCTACGTGAGGAGAAGAGAAAAGACAATTACATTGCAATATAAATCGAACAATACGAATTATCGAATATCGATTTAAATGAAACAAGCCGTTGGAAGATATTGCGTGAAAGAGAATGATGTATAAAATCACCTTAAGTTAAAATATCTTAAAATTCTACTTTTGCGTCGATCTCGGAATGAATTTACCTGTGGTAACGTGTCGGTTGCCGAAGTTCTGCAAACATCATGACCAGCTCGAGACATCTCTTCCTCGCTCGTGCTTGGCAGCATTCTGACGACACCCATTTCGTTATCATCCTCAGGTTCCGTTTCGTGTTCCGCATCTTCCCCGATAGCGTCTCTGATCTCCTTGTCGATCTGCTCGTCTTCTTCGTCCCACTCTGGACTCTCGATCACCGCCACTATCGCACTCCTGTCTGGAGAACGATCTTCTGAACTTTCGAACAAACATTTCCTCGCCGATGGTCGTCCGGTTTTTCTAATCTTTCCCGTTGACGGTCTCGAGCGTCTGGTTTGCGCCGATTTCGGAGAACTCGAGGAACTCTCGTCGATATATCGAAACGTTTCGTCTAAAAGCACGTGAAACAATATAAAATGCAACTCGTGCAACGATTTCGATACTCACCTGTCGCCAGTGCATCCTCCACGGGGCGTTTCTTCACTTTCTTCGCCTCGTCTTCCTCCTTTTGATCGTCTATATTCGACTTTGCCGGAACCGAGTCTTCGTCAGTTTTCTCCTCGTCGTCCATCTTCCTTTTCGTAGCAGTCGGTGTATCCGCGCTCAACGATTTGTCTTCGATATCGTCTTCCACTAACGCAGAGTCTTTCGAGGATGAAAAGTCGACTGACTTCCTACGAACGGAATCTGCTTTTTGTTCCTTTTCATCCGGTGATTCCTTGCTTGAGCTTTTCGTTAACATGGTCGACGTCTCTCTCGTTTGTGCGCTGTCGACACGAATTCCCTCAGCTTTTTGCACTTCTGACGTCTTCTCTGTACCTAATTTACTCCCTTTTTCCACCGAGGATTTCATAGAGACCTTCTTCGCCGAAGATTCGCGTTTCTTGCTGAATTCTTTTCTCTTCTGAGTCCCACCGCTCTTTTTCGGGCTTTCGTCCGACTTGGAGGACGAGGATTTTGATCTTCTTTCGTCGAACGACGGTTTCCTCTTTACGGTTCCAGGCTTTGCTTTCGATTTGCTTTTGATTTCTTCGGATGTCGATTTTCTTTCTTCTCCTTCCGACGGCGAAACGTCTTCCACCGCTGTTCTCGGAGTAGCATCTCCTTTTTGTACGTTTTTCTCGCTCTTTGGACTTTCGGATTTGCTCGTCTTTTCCGATTCTTTCGTCAAAGTGGACTCAGATACGCCCGTTTTCTCTTTGTGGGTTTCCTTATCAGATTTCGCTTCGGACGACGTACCGTCTGATTTGGAAACGAGTTTGTCTTCCTGTCGACTCCGGCGTCGTTGCTGCTCGCTCAGCGAATCCAACGTGGGACTTTCCGACTCGGTCGTCTCGCGTACATCTAACCTGCCTGGAAAGAGAATTCTACAGAAAATTGACAGAAATTTCTCTTTAATAGAATCTATGAGAAAATTGGCAGGAATCTTTCTTTAACAAAAAAATTAACAGGGACTTTGTTTCAATGTAATTTGTTTCAATGCCTCACGTCACAAGAATTCGAGTCAGTTTTTGTAACATCGTAGTTACTATTTCGTTTAAAGTCTTACCTTTTTCACTCTCATCTTTCTTCTCTGTACCATCACTGATAACGGCTTGATCCTGATCTTTTCTCGTGTCATCTACTTTTTTCGCATCTTCTCTATCCTCGTCTAATTTTACATGTTGATCTCGACTAGCACCCTCCTCGCATCGATCTTGCTTGGAGTCTTTTCTCTCTTGGCTCTGCCTCGAATCTTCTTCCCGTTGAACTTTCTCCTGTGCAGCCTGTTGCCTCATTTCTTCAACGTCTTTCTTTAAACTGGCAGCTTTCTGCACGAGATCGTTACGTGATACGTCGCTTTGTTCCAAAATGTCCGAACTAACTCCCCTGGAGATTTCCTGCACCTCGATTACTTCCGTCCTTGATCTATCGTCGAAGGTGACTTCTTTCGATGCTTCAACTACTGATTTTGGCGTGTCTGGTCCTTGATCTTTATGAACCATCGCTGTCACAACGACACGTTCCACCGTTTCTTGGCTGGTGCTATCGGTCACGTCTTTACGATATCGACTTTCAACGATACTTCCCCCATTTTCCTTCTCTTCGTCTATCGACGTTCTAGGAGTTTGCTCGGCACAGAGCGTAGATTCTTTCGCTCCTTGCTCCCTGTCGAACGAATGTACTCGACCGGTTATACCCTCGCCATTGTCCGACGCTTTCAACTTGTTGGACCGCGATTTTCTTCTAGTGCTTCTCTGCGTCTTTGTGAATTTCGTCTCCTTCGAACTTTCCCTGGGCGTCTTTGATCTTCGTCCAGATACCACCTTTTCGCATTTCCTCTCCAAAGATTTTCGCACCACCACCACTTCCAGGCTATCTTCGCTCACGCTTTCGTCGTCGTCGTCGTCGTTGTCGTCGTCGTCGTCTCTTTTCAAATTCTCTCGGCTCTCCGTCCCGTTGCTTCTGTCCATTTTGCTCTCGTCCTTTCGCGAGTCGAACTTCTGTCTCGACGTATCCTCGACGTGTTCGTAACTGTCCGACTCTATGGACGTTTCGCTGGAATCGCGTCTGGATTTGGACGATCGTTTTTTACTTCGTTTCCTCCTCAATTTTCGATCGGTATCCTCCTCTTCGTATCTACAATTTTATTTTTTATTTTTTTAGTCTTACTGGACTTAATGGATCGCACTCGAACGATTTAAAAGTTCCAAGTTTCTACGTTTGCATAGTTTCATGTCTTCAAACTTAACGAGATTCTAAATATTTCAGAATTTCAACGATTTCACTCTCGAGTTAATAAAGTAGAAGAAGAATGTAATTTGGAAACATCGTACCGTGCCGATTCACTGCGAGCTCTTCTTCGATGACGATCTTTCTTCGAAGACGATTTTGACAGTCGAACTTCCTCCTCGCTGAAGCTCCGGCTGTCCTGACGTGCTAATTTCCTCAGATTACCTCTTCGTCGCGTTCTCTTTTTAATCCACTGTTCCTCGTAGTACAATTCCGGAAGCTGACAGCTACGATCTCGTCTACGAGGGCTGCTCTCCGTATCGGTACTGCTGTCGACGTGCCTCATTCGCAGTTTCGTCGCGAACACTGAAATCGTTTCGATCGAAAAATGAAAGATCTGCAAAATGTCCGTTAATTCCTTGTCAAATTATTTATCGAAGGAAAAAACTGACAGATTTCCCGAATTTTTTCGTTTAATAGAATCACTTATTTGTATTAATGCTTAAAGACGAAACATAGTTTGTCAAACAAGTATGGTTCGACAAAACGAGGGAATAGGTATAATAGGAGGACAAGCGAGATAAATTCAGTTTAAGAGAGCCGTTGTAAATTAAACACACAAATTAATTAAACTATAGCGTAGTTAATGTTATTAAAAAGATAAAAAATTCTCAATGTGTAAAATTTTGCAATTTCGCAGAGAAATACAGAAATGGAAGTTATAGAAAAGCTACACCCTCTCCTGCGAGGGGATGATTTTTGAAGTAGTTTTGTAGAAATCAACATTTCAAACAACCGTTTTCTGAACACATAACTAGAGGACGGACCTAGTTCCCGAGGCATTCGTAGAATATAAATTTTGTGAATCAATATATGTATACCTAACCTGACCTTTATTCGGTACAGTTCTCTGCATCCGCAGTTTCTGCGCCGTGGTACCACCGTGCATCTGAATTAATTTCGCGCAATCTCGGTGCCCTCTGTAAAGGGCTGCGTCCAGAGCTGTCATCAGATTGCCTTTGCTAGTTCGAAGGACGGCATTGATCCTCGCGCCATTGTCTAGAAGGGCTTTGCACACGTCCAGATGTCCATGAAGGGCAGCCACGTGCAGAGGTGTCTTGCCATCGTGGGTGGCTACGTCCAAAGTGCTTGGCCGTTTCTTCGCCAACCATTTGATCAACTCGATTCTACCGGAAGCGACGGCTTCGTGGGCGACACCGGTTCCTCGTATGGTCCTCGCGTAAAGAGAACCACCGTGCTGAGCAAGGATCTTCAAGGTCTCTAATTGGCCCTTTGCTGCCGCACAAAGTGCTGGTCTAAAATGTTTCGCGTTTTTAATCTCGTCTCGTTAGACGAAAATTCAAATTACTTTCTAAAATTATTTGAATTTATATTTGATTGAATTTTTGAAATTTTATTTAATTTATTATTATTACCATTACTATAATTATAATTATAATTATAATTGCGACTGTTTAAAATTTTTTAATTTCATTTAAATTAAAAAAGATCTAGTATCGTTACTCGTTTTCGAAAATTTTATACCGTGTTTTAATAATTTGATCGTACTGCGATTAATTAATAAATTCTTTAGTTTCAGTATCTACAGGTAACGTTGGCATTCAGATGACATGTATGTGTTATTATTGATAATAATAGTCTGTCTATAGTGTCTGTACAGATTATCTGGTATTGTATATACGTATGCAAGATAATAATGTCGATGAACTCTACGACCTATGAATTCTAATTCTATTACCAACACGATAAAATCAATTTTGACATAGATACAGTATAGTCAGTAGAAAAGATGTAGTCAGTAAGGCCGTAAAATCGGACAAGAGTTGAAGTTATTATCATAAAATGTAGAAGTAAAATTCTAATTTCAGGTAAAATTTTGGAAATAATTTGCGATATCATTCTGAATTTTATTATTATTTTATTTAAATCTAGAGTCAATCATAAGTATTCATAAAAAATTTTAATTACATTCGTTGAGAATTTTAATAAATCAAGAAAAATATTTTAATTAACGATAAGATTGTATTTGTAATTGTCTAAATACACCTGATACTTTTGAAATAAAAATCTCAACTTCTATCATGACTCCTATCATGCAATCAAAATGCTTAAAGTGCATCAACAAAACTTTTACCATAGAAAGATAGAACGAGTGTCCGTATCGAATCATAATTCAATTATCGATATCAATTACTTTATCGAATGTAAATGGATTATATTTATATTTTTCAAAGTTTTAACTAGCAGAAGTGAATTGTGTTTCAACGAATGTTCGTTCCAGCTCTCTATAGTACTTACGTTCTACCCTTTCGATCCTGACGATTCGGATCGGCTCCTAACTTTAGAATCAAAGCTGTGGCATCAGCGTGGCCAAGAGTGGCGGCGTAGTGAAGAGCCGAACATCCATTATCGTCCACGTGATCAGGGTGAGCTCCACAGAGATTCACCAAAGCCTCGACGCATCTAGCGTGACCTCTGGAAGCGGCGCAATGGAGAGCTGTCAGGCCATCTTTGTCCGCAGCTCCTGCGGCAGCTGAACCACCGGCTCTGTATTTTAATTATTGCTTTTAGAATCATTCTTTTTTTTTTCTCTCTAGAAAAAAAAAAAATGCAAAATAAATCATGTCAGATAATAATATGAAATAAAATAAAATAATTTGTCTATTTAAAAGGGCAAACTATGTATATTTTGAAACAATTACTTTTTTAAATTATTGTTGTTAAAGCTTGCTGAAATTGCTATTTTTGGGAAGTTTCAAGTATCATTCTTTACACAATAAAGCATTTCGAAACACACAGATTGCTTCCCGCCGTTGACATTCAACAACCGTGTATTTGAATGGAATCAAACTTTACCTAGCCAAAGCCAACACAGCTTCCACGCTACCGGCACTTGCTGCCCATAGAATTGGCTGTCTTCCGTCCTCGTCTTTCGCGTTCACGTCGGCGCCGAATTCCAAAAGGGTCTGGAGAACTTTTAAACCTACTTTCTTAGGTACAGCAAGTTCCGCAGTCGCAGCTGCACCGCAACATTGAGCGGCATAGTGAAGAGGAGATCCGCCACGGAGATCGGGCGTCGACGGTCTTGCACCCGCTGCTAATACCAAGCGAACACATTCTGCTTCCCCACATACTAAACACAAATCCCCACAAATAAACATGCATTTTTATCTTTTTATCCATTCTTACATTTTCGTTTAAAAATAATTTGACCCCTTCATAGATTAACTAGACTATTTATCTTTAAGCCTAATTTTACTACTACTTTAAACTTTTCAAATATCTGAAATTATTCTAGAATGTTTCTCGACATCTCTACCACATAGTTTATAAACATAGTTTCCTCACGAAGAACTAAAATTTCTATGAATGACGATTTAAAGAAGGTAGTCAGACAGTTTTCATAGAAAAGTCTTCAATAAGGAAGTAACATCAATTCTATATATATATATATATATAGCGAAGATAAATTTCCTTTGATCAGAGTTCTGGGTGTCACCGATAATTGACTCGCGAGATGGTATCGTGTTCGTATTCAGGACACGGCAAGTAACACGTTAGAAGCGTTACAAGCGATAAAGCAACGACACCGACACGTAAGTAGGTCGAAATGTTACTTCGTCGAGTCGCATCCGTATTCGAAGACGTTCCATGAATTACACAGATACGACTCATCGATACGAACTTTCTTTCTCAACCGCAAGAAAATCTACTGTACGAACGTAAAACCCAGGCGATCGCAGTGTACAGCTATAAATCGTGGGTCATTTGAATACACCAAGGACGACTATGGTCAATCTCGTGGATTATCTCGCGTGTTCCTTGGCGAACCGGAATGACGTCACCAGGACTGACCCACTAACCTTACCTGACCAATACCACCCTTGTTTTCTCGGAGATCGGCAGAAAAGATACGCCCCTGTAATTCACAGTTTCCGCAGCTTCTAAGGAATCGTTACCGTTAGCTCGTGGTCGTTTGCAATTTGACCTTTCGTCCGAGGAAATTAAAACTGGTTCTCTATATAACCGGCCAATTTACCTTCACTTTCCATCACAGACTTGAACGACAGTTTGGCTAATCTCGCGTAAAGGATCGCTGGCCGTATCCTCCGACCGTAAAATTGCCACTCACGCGAGACGTAGTTATTTGTAAATTGAATATTACATGCATATTGCAGAGCTTGACGTGATTACCGTTTTCAGATTTACAGAGGAATCTTACATAGCGCGTGATATTGACTGAAATTTCCAGAAAAGAACTAATCATATTGTCAACTTAACTTAGAGGAGTGAAAAAAATATATTGTTTAGAACAAATCTCTCTGTTTTGTAATTTAGAGTTTGGTCTTTGAATTCTGATGATTTTTAATAAAATATTTATTGCGTATATGTGTCGTGTGAAATTAAATAGACTTTCTTAAGGAACGTACGATATTTACACAGATTAGATGTAAATGACTAGAAGAGAATGGGAAAGATAAAGTAAAGATTAAGTTTGATCGATTCATACGAAGTATGTACGTATCTAAATGATTTCTAAGAATCACGCTTTTCAGTAAAGTATTTCAAATGTGCGATATATATGTAAGAGGCATTAAAAGTACCACGCGATCAAACAACTAGGAGTACATCGCAAATAAGGTTGTTTAGAGAGTCCTTGGTCAGAGTTACGCGTTGCTAATAACAACAGAATTACATTAGAGTCCAACCACGAGAAAGACTTTGATGCTTTAAACTTATACTTCATAAACGAAATGTTATTCATTTCTGTCTACGATATATATATATATATACTTCTAACAATAGTAAACACTCGTGTGACATTAATGAAATTATTAGACAGGATTTTTATGCATTTATAGGAAACTTGAAGTACATGTGAAATGTACATAACATGTAGATTGATATATCCAAAAATAGAGAAACTGAATGTATTTTTAATTTTACTCGTAATAAAAACATTCACAGTCTAGTAATCATCAATCGTCATAGCGCGAATGATCAGTGATAATAATGAAAATACCGGTAGCCCAATGAAGAACGCTGTGTCCCTCCAGATCCTTGGCATTCACGTCAGCACCATTCGCCAGTAAAACAGCCACTAATTGCGTATCACCTGCGATGACAGCTAAATGAAGTGGCGTGTGTCCTTCTGCATCTGGTGCATTTACCAGTTCCGGTGCCGCCGCAGCGACGGCACCTCCGGTTCCAGCGTCCATGCAATAGTGAAGCGCGTTCCTTAGAGTGCGATCTCTGTACCCAATTGTTTCCTCTTGTTCTTTCAACAATCTTAGAACTCTTGCTCTGTCGCCCTGTTGACAAGCGTGCATCAAAGGCGTCGCACCGATTTGAAGCACTCTGCAAGAGTTACATAAACTTTTGCTTTTCGAACCCGGAGGGAGAATTTGAAAGGAATATTTTCGATCTTACTCATAGTTAGTAATTTTAAAGAATATAAAAATTAAACACACTTTGAAGGGATTAAATAATTTCTTGCATTTTTTTTTTTTTTTTTTTTTT